ATATGTTTAGCAGATAAAATTGTGGTGTATTGCGCGCCGGCGGGGTGGGGCACGGGGGGGGGGGCGGCTTGGGAGCGCAGCGGCGCTCCCGCTGAGGGTTCGGATCCCATGTGGAGACCGGTTCCTGCTCACTGGCTGAGCGCGGTGCGGGCACAACACCGAGGGTTGCGATCCCGCTACCGGTCAGTAAAAAAAAGACAAAAAGGAAAAAAAATATATTACTAGTATATATATTGTTACAAATTGTACTTCTTCCTTACGCGCCTTGTCCAATCTCTCCCTATCCCCCTTTTCCTCCCCCCTCCCACCACTGATAACCCTAGATTTCTTCTCTCCTTCTGAAAGAATGATGGTTACTCTGTTAAAATGTTGCCTAGATGATCTGTCCAATGCTGAGAGGTGTGTTCAGGTCCCCCAATATTATCATAGAGCAGATGCTTCTTCTGTCACTCTGGAATGGGCTTTGTGGAGAGAGACATCCTCTTCTTTTCTTTGGTCTCTGCTGGTGACTCTCCTTGTGTCAAGGCACTCCAGTGGCTGGTGTACCATCTGTGTGGTGGTTGTGATGTCTAGCCACTTTCGTGACAGCTGTTGTTACTGTGGTGGCTGTGGTGGGCCAACCACATGGTGGTGATGTTTTTGGCATGCTCCTTGGTGCTGGCGGTGTGCCTGGTTGTGGGTGGGGGTCTAGACCCCAGACCGATGCTCTGGGTCCCTGGACAGGCACCAAGGTTCTGGCAGTGTGCCTGGATATGGGCGGGGGTAAAAGTGATTTTAATTATAGCCATTGCAGAAATTAAAATAATGTTTGTTGAATGGAAGGAATGAAGGAAAGAAGGAAGAGAGGGAAGCAACAAAAAGAAAAGAGAAAAGATGGAAGGATAGATACATACAAGGGCACTTCAAAACATTCATGGAAAGATTTGTATTATCTTTTAATTCTATTTTTCCATGAGGGTTTTGACATACCCTCATACTTGCTGAATTGTAGAATAGACAAATATTAAACTTTTCAGTCCTGAAAATACACCTGCCTGTTTGCCCAAAATGGTCATCAGAAGGGATTTTTCTTTCTCTTTTTCTCAGTCTTAATGAGACCTCCAATTGAAACTGGGTAAAATAAACTGGCTAGACTGGCCATATTTTTGGTAGCAAGGCAAAAATAATATAGAAGGTCTTTGTGGAGGTAGAAACCATGAAATGAGTGTAGAATCTTAGCCCATCAAAATTTACAGATGTGTTAGTCTCTAGGAATTAAGCAATTTAAACTAATGTAGAAATGGTTTGGACTCATACATACTTTGGTTGAGGGTCATATTCACAGCCTTGGCCTCCAGGAGTTATAAGATGTGGTCAGGACATTTTCTCTAAAATTGGAAGGTTCTAGCCAAAATATTCTCTTGGTTTTGTTCTGTACAGGTAGATTATTAATCTAGAAGAGTTGTGATTTTTTTCTGTAAATTGGAGGATTTTTTCCTAAATTTCTCTTATTTTCAGACCATACATGTTCTGACAGTGGAATGAAATATTTTTTTAAATGAAGTTTTAAAAAAATCCATGAAAATACCAATAAGTAAAAAAGAGCTTGAGAATTAACGGTCTTTGTATCAATCATCTCACACTGCGGCAAAGTGGCCTGATCACCAGGTTAACAGATGCTGGATTCAAGAGACCATCTGTTTTAAAATGTTAGACCAAGCCCTAGTCAATGAACTAAGTGTTTTCTTGTTTCTTTCTACCAGAATGATGAGTCTTCATCAACCCAAAGCCCAGACTGTACCCAAACCTTCCTGTGACGACATCCTAACAGGTTTGCTTTCTTTCAGAGTACTTGTACCGTGAGATACTATGCCCAGGGTAATAGAATGAAAAGTTTAATCCCTAAGATAATTTCTAAATTTTCTCAGCAAATTCCTATGCTCTATCCTTTCTCTTTCCCGTGTTGCCTTTTGGTCCATTTGTATTGGATCACAGCCCTCCTTCTACTTCATCCCCAGCTGTCCCTTCCTCAGGCCTCACTTGCCCTTATCTGTGTCCTGTTCCTTCCCAGGCCCTCACCACACCACATAGCTCTGACCCATAATCCACTTACTGAAGAATTTCCGTAGAGATGGTGCACAAACAAGATATAAGACTGTCTGCACACATTTCTGGTGGTACCAATAAAAGTCAGAAGGGAACTGCATCTCCACATCCCTGGAATGGCCTCACCAAGACCCTGAAACTTTCACCCCACGGGCTCCCTAAAATACCTGCCTTCTGCCAGAAGCTGCCCGATGCTATTCCTATCTTCACTTGCTGTTAATAGAAACAAAAATAGTGGCTGTAACTCAGGCTTCAGCATTGCCCTAAGTCTCATCCTTTAGAGAAGCCAATGCTGGCCTGGTAAAGGGGGGAGTAGGCCATTCCCTGGGGTGATAGAATTCAAGGGTTCAGTGCAGCATAAGTTGTCACTTTAGTTACTTTGTCCATCTTCTCATTTGCTCACATATTAACTGAAACCACCTGAAATTTTTCTTTCATTTGATACATGCTTGTACAGTAAGGAAAATCAAGATCACTTTCTTCATGTCATACAGATGCAAAAGTCTTAGCTATATCCTGAGAAGTTATAGGGGAGCTAGAGTCAGAACTGAGCTGAGAAGCCATTTAGAAAGTAAACTTGAGGATAGAAGGGGTGTCTTGAGCGGATGCCAAAAAGGAGGACCAGAGACTCAAGCAACAGCTGAGGTTTGGAGATACCCACTCCAGTGGAGTGAAAGGCTACTAGTCCCAATGAGTCACTTCTTATGTATCCAAAAATATTGGTGTAGTTCATTGCTCTTATTTAACCAAAGTGGAACCAAGAGCCTAGAGCTAAAAGCACCCACTCCAACGAAAGCTCCCCACTCTGCTGTTCACTGGTCTGTGACAGCCTCATTCTCTTGAAGTCAAGAGAACACTGGGTGATAGTCATGTGCAGTTGGTTGCAGGGTTATCTGTGCCAGCCATACACTCATTCTGAGTTGTCCTTGGACCTGGATTTTTTCAGATCTGCCTTGTGAAGGGATGAATCACCCCTCACCCCCCATGCCCGCCAACACACAAACACTATTAAACACCTCTCCCTCAACAAGAATATTTATTTCCTGATCCTAAACGACAATATAAGAAGATGCCTTTCACTAATTTATTAGCTCCAGGAGTGTACTTCAGTTAGCAATAGACTTGGTGTACATGAGATCAGCACATTATATACTTGGATGGACCTGGTTCTTGCGCATAGAATTCATCCTAGGACAAAAATCTTGGAGGTGGGACTTCAGGGAGTGTGCTTACAGAACTGGCTAGGAGCTGAAGCTTGGAAGATATACTGTTGGTTGTAGTTGTGACCCTTCTAGCTGAGCTTTACTCTTTTGCATGCTTCCTGAGGTCATGGAAAAAGCACTTGCCTAGGGGCAATGAGACCTGGGTCCAGATCCTATTGTTGCTGTACAGGCTTGGCCTCTGTATTCCCACCTGTAAAACCAGAGCAGCGTTTTGTCCCACTGAGAGCTAGACACTCAGCAAAAGCAGCCTTCACCTTTGACTGACCTAGAAAAACTGCTGATGCTGCCCCAGCCCTGCTGGTTTATACAGCTTAGACATGTTCATATGCCATACTTGTTGCTTATTGCTGAAACTGCCACCCACCTGTGCTGTGTTCCCTGTGGACATGCTACAAATACCAAGTGGCTGACTCATCCCAGCAGACATTACTGCCAATGGTTGTCTAACTCATTCTGATGGTCACAACAGTGATTCCTAGCATTTTTCTGGATTTGGCTAAACCTCTATACAAGTATTATCAATAATTCTTAATGAGAACTAAGTAAATGGAAAGAACCTATCTCTACAAGTGATTGGGATTCTTCAGGGTACATTTATCTTTGCTTTGAGCCCAGAATCCCACAACACCCACAGTCTCTTGGTCTCAATAAACATTGGTATAGATGCTAACCACCTGAGTAGGGATGACCTCTTGGCATGGTGGTGTGATGTGGTGCAAAGGGCACTGGGTTAGGATTACGGAGATTTGGGTTTTGATCCCCAGTTCGTTAGTGCCTGTAACTCCAGACTGCTGTTTCCTCTTACTTGGCATGGTGGTGTGATGTGGTGCAAAGGGCACTGGGTTAGGATTACAGAGATTTGGGTTTTGATCCCCAGTTCGTTAGTGCCTGTAACTCCAGACTGCTGTTTCCTCTTTATTACAGTGATAAGACCGAGCTAGATCCTAGGTTTCTGATCTAGTACATCTCTAGCTCTCATTTAGCTGGACCAAGGAGATTGTTCCAGAGAATTCAGGGCTCCAATTCCCTTAGCCGTTCAGTGATTCCAATAGAAGTTGTTATTTTATTCACTGATTTACTCTCCTTCAAGCAATGCATCTTCTGGAAAAGTTAAATATTAACCAACTTTTTGTAAATCAAATCATATTCAAAGAAAAAGTCAGGACAGTAAGGAAATTAAAGAACCCTAAAATAAATTACTTCACAAAATGAATGTTCCTTTTGAAAGCAAGTACTTTCTTTTCCTACTGTATGTAGCTTTTCTGTAAGTTCATGTTTGTTTATTTTTTAAAGAAGAACAGAACTATGTATGTGTCCCTGAAAAGTCTCCTGAGAATTGAATCCTTTTTACCCTTTGACTCATATTACAAATCCAGACATGTTTTATCTTCATTTTAATTTAATTGGCAATGACTTCTAATACTTGAGTTTGTTTCCAGGTACTCCAGTTTTGCATCTAGTTATTCTTTTTGGCGTCTTTAACAAGATTAGCAAAAGCTTAAATGTTGTGGGGGATAAGATGGTTTATTAAAAGGAATTTTTATGTGAATTTTGAATACGTTTTATAAGGTTGAAGAAGTTTTTGGTGGCCTTTGGTTATTCTGAGTTTCTTTAAGAACAGAATCTAAGCAGCCCTTGCCCTTCCTTCTTGCACTCTCCTCCAGAGAGCACTCACTGCAGACTGCCCATTCTGGGCCCCAGGACAGCTGTCTTCTGTGAACTGCTGGCAGACACCTACAAAACTCTACAGGAGACACAACACTCTTCCTTGCCCAGGAAGGAACGAGTGGGCAAGGCAACGAGGCAGTGAGTGGCCAAAGCTCATCACTTTTTAGACTCCCAGGAGAAAACAATCTCTCCAAGCTGGTACACTGGTGCCTTCTGCTCCACAATTTCCTCCTATCTCCAAAAAGATGACTCAACTTTGCCTTCCTTAGAGTTGCTGGTATTCTAGCTCTTGGCACTATCATCTCACTCACTTCTAGAGGCAAATAGTTTAATTTACATAATGATAAAGATTTGTTGATTAAAATGGAATGTAGATGTCTCATTTTATTTTGTAAATGTTCTTATCTATGTTGTAATAGACAACTTTCTTTTGTTTTCGAGACATTTCTCTTTGAAGACATTTTTGAAAAATTTGGTGTGAAAGTTATTTTAGCTCTTTCTTCAGAGCAGTGGGCCAGAGATAGCTTCAGGAAGTGCCTCATGAATTCAGCCTATTAAGAGTAAAGGAGAGAAAGGGAGGCCATCCTTCTGTCCTTATCTCTGTCGGTTAGCCCTGGTAGATAACAGGGAATACCATGATGAAATAGCTGGTAAATGACAAGTGATTAGTTGCTGCAACCCATGATTACAGGAACTGTGCCTTGCCTTGCCCTCCACACCACCTCCTTTAGGGCTTTGCATATTTCAGATGTTCAGTTAACATTTGCTCAGTCAAATCCATACCAGGTGCTTGTATTTTGTCCTTTGGTTACTTTGGTTTGAGGATATGTGCCTCTAGATCTGTCCTAGTGCATGTGTCTGAAGTATGAAGGAGATAAAGGAAAACTCTAGGCTGACAAATACAGTATTATATTTATGGGCATGTATGCTCTATGCCCAGCTTCAGGAGGGCTCATGGAATCCTGAGATCCTGATTACATGGAGAGAAGAAGAAAGGCAAATAACATTTTAGTATTATTACACAAAAAATTGTGACTTGTAGATACCCCCCAAAAGTTTTAGAGATTCCTGGGGGCCCCCAGACCATACTTGGAGAACTTCTAGTCTGTAGGCTATACCGTGCATCCCCAGCCCTCCAGGGAAAGGGATGCCAGGGCACTTTAACTCATATATGTGAGTAATCTGGTCCCGTGGCAGAGGTATTAGAGAGATGCCAACAGCAGGTTTTCAAGGTGTGATGATACTACCTTTTAGTCTCATATACTTCCCTTTGCTCAGATGGTCTATTTAACAACTTTATAATCGAAATTTGGTTTCTAAAATAGTGTTTGGGTGAGAATAGAGTGGGTTGTGCTGTTGGGACAAGAAGTCTAGGTCCTTTTGAACTCTCATTTCTCTATATGAGTATGAACTCATTTCCCAGAATCTGAGGTCCAAACCTGGACCTAGTATGGCCTCAGCACACTAGTAATGCTCTATCAACAGCTTTGTGAAAGTTAGCCAAATGGTGCTTTTCCTTTTTACTTTAATCCTGCAACCAAATCCTGGAGAGCAATTGTTTTGAGGTCAGAATTTCCTAAATTGACAAGTGCAGCTCTGATATACCTCACTATGTGACTAACACAGTGCTACTGTTTCAAATTAAACTTGCAAAGAGATCTGCATTTATGCGGCCTGATCTTTCTCTACCAGTAGTAATGTTGAAAGAAATCATCTTACCCACGGCAGACTTTGCTTCCATTTGTCCCGTGGGGGATCAAATGATTGACTGTGTCATCCCTCTTGGCCCAGTCTTTCCTATACTGAGTTGGATCCTTGGAGGTAATAATTTGGGCTTGTCAATTATTATTTTACCTACTGCATATTCTTAAGCATCATCCAAAAAGTTCTCAGAAAAGGGCCAGGGCAATTTCTTCACTATAAAAAATGTTATTCTTGGTTTAGAGTCATGTACAGTTCAGATTAATTTTGTAAAGTGGATAATCTTGGGTAAATTCTTTCGTTTCAAGGAAAAGCCTTATTTTGCTGTTGTTTTTTTTTTAAAAAACGACTCATAATAGAAGTCCATAGACATGAGTCAGACTTACTCCTACTCTTTCATATTCTTTCACCCCACAGGGAACTTAAAGAACAATCAATACACATAATTATTTTACTGCCAGGAACAAAGATAAATGCGGTATTTAGTAAAAGCCATGCTGTTGCTTTAAAAACAACAAAAACAAAACTAAGAAACCCACAGATATTTAACGTAAGACCATTGTCACTTCCATTCCCCTGTTTAACCTTGGGAAGTGCTACAGGTCTCTATTGCCACGTGCTCTGCTCTGGGTCACTCATATTTTACTTTGCCCCTGACTCTCAGAGCTCAAGGGAGGTCTGTCAGGGGCCAAGAGGTTGTACACATTTGACCTGCCTGCCCATTGTCCTGAATAGGTCTGAGAACCACATAACTCCAAGAAGCTTAAGAGTAACAAGTTTGGCAGAACTGCCTTGTTTCCTCTAAGGAATGCCCTATTTAGAATGCCCCATTTGGTTGTAGTTACTCAGGTGGAGGGAGGCCTTAGGGATGAGAAGGGCATTACCCAACAGAGTATATAAGATTTCCAAGAAGAGGAGGAAGCATGGGCCTTGTTAATAAACCTATAAACAAAATCTTTAAAAATCAAGGTTAAATTAGAAAATTTAGAAATGGATAAAATTTAACTCACCTCTATAGAAAACTGCAGTGATCACCACTATTTCAACCATGTCCTACTCAAAACCATCTTTATTCAATGCTGTTTCATACACGTAAATCTTGACTTTCTAGGAAAATGTATAACTTTATGAGAAGAAGAACACTGTCTCATGCTGACACCATATCCTTGCAGGAGCTACCTAACACATACCTGAGAGATATTTAGCGTGAAGAAAAGTCCATTCCTAGGCTTACTTAGAAATATGAAAAAAAAGAATCGAGATCCCTGAATTTGGGACTGTGAGACTACAATGGGTTTAGACATTTGGACTCTGCTCTTGAGGAATTTCAATTGTGGAATCACACACACACACACACACACACAGGAAGGAAGAGCATGTGCACAAGCCAGGATAAATACAGGCATGAGTTACAAACTGAACACCCAGGGATTACAGCAATAACGCTCTCCATATCACCAACCATCTAGCCCTCTGGACAGAAATAAAGAGGCAATTGTTTGACCTTATCCAGAAAGTTGGTCAGAGGAGAAATAGCCATATTCACTCACACAGGATAGTGTCTCTTGTTCTTTGCAAAGTCTTTGGCAAGATGTTTAACTGCTTGGCCAGTGAAGTGCAGAACAGAGAAATTAGGCACTGGCAAATGTCTGCTGTTCAAGGAAAATTTGTCCCTAAACTTCTGCAGAGCGTCCTCAACTCAGTCCCGTGTAGTAGGGATCGTGCTGTGGGGATGTCACATAGCCAGAAAGTCAGGAAAGCCTTACTTCCTAGATTCTCACATTGAGAAAAATGCATAAAGAGTAAAAAAGAGTAAAATGTGCATTAAAACAAAAAGAAAGAGATACTGGAGACATTAACTGGCTCTGAAGAGTGGAACTGAGTGGCTGGATGACAGAAATTGGCAGAAAGTACGAATTTTTCAGAGTATACCCTTATTTACTCTTTGAATTTTGAACTGCGTGAATATATCACTGACTTGAAAATAGAACAAGATAAAACAAACAAAATTAAACCTTTTAAAAATTGCCAGGGGGCTAATCTAACTTTGGAATTGGAAACCCGATAAACTATCAAAATAATTGTTTGTCTTCCTGACACTCAGATGACATAGTCCTTGAATACTATAAGGTTTAGGCAAGTGTCCAGTTCAAAGAATAAATTTTATCTCTGGTCCTTGGATGTTTTGCCACTGAAATGCTAGTATTGGCAAATAGTAACAAACGTTTTATGCTTATGCAGCATTTTAAACTTTTCAAAACAAGTTCACTTGTTTTTCCTCTTTCTGCATCAAATTTACCATTGTTTTTCTACCACTGAATAAAAGCAACAATGTTTTACATGATGCTATCCATTTCACAAATGCAGCCCTTCCCTAGGGCACTCTACAAAAATTCTTCATTTTATTGAAACAAGTGCACCTGGTTCTTTTTTATAGCACTGTTTGCATGGGACTAGTCCCTTTTGCACATAATCCTTGATATATTTGATGGCATGGCTCATATTCCTTAGTTTTTTTTGTTTGTTTGTTTTTAAACTTAAGATCCCCAGGTTCTTTGGCCAGTATCACATGGCCCCAGACATCCTCTCTGGGCCCACTCCAGTGCCACTCGAAATGCGGTACCCAGAGTGAAATCCAAAATTCCAGATGTGACCTGGCCAGATGTGACAGTGGGACTCTCAACCTCCTTCATTCTGGATCTCCTACTGCCTTAAATATAGACTAAAATGGCCTACGTTTTCCTAGCAGCTGGGTTACATTCATTCTCTCACATTGACATGCCACCCACTAGAGGCTTTCTGTCCTTCTAGTGAGAATTGCTGTTCTGAAAGCTCTCCTGAGGCTGCTCATGACACTTAGCTAGATTCCAGCCACTGACCATCTTTCTGAACCTAGATCCCATCATCCACTAGTCCTCCCACATTTGATAATCTTCCATGTTTCTCAGTCTTCGCTACAAGTGCTGAAAGGAACAGGGTCACGAACCAGACCCCATGGTACACCTCTAGAGTCCTCCTCTTAGATCAGAGATTCCCAAGGGCCTCTTCTTTAATCTATATTTTATTACAAAAACATTTAAATTTACAGAGAAGTAGAAAAATAGCACAAAGGACACCTACATAGCCTCCCACTAGAGCCTATAGTTGTCAATATTTTGCCACATTTCCTCCATCTATATATTGTTTTGCTGAACCATTTTAAAATAAAGACATCATGACATTTTACCACTAAATAGTTCAACCTGTAGCTACAAAAAAAGTCTTCTTCAACACGTAACACTGTTATCTCACCTACGTAAAAATCAATAATCCTTTATTGTTATCTCCACTTAGTCCATATTCAAATTCCCCAATTTGTCTCAACATGATTATTATGGCTGGTTTGTTCAGTCAAATCAAATAAAAAATTACACATCGTAAAAATCAATAATCCTTTATTGT